ACACACACACACACACAGAGAGAGAGAGAGAGAGAGAGAGAGAGAGAGAGAGAGAGAGAGAGAGAGAGAGAGAGAGAGAGAGAGAGAGAGAGGACCGTGGGGATTGTTGGTGTTGTGAGATGTGCCACTTTATGAAAGGTGTGGTGGCTAGGATAGATGAGCTAACCTGAGGGGTAGAGAGAGAGAGAGAGAGAGAGAGAGAGAGAGAGAGAGAGAGAGCCGTGGGGATTGTTGGTGTTGTGAGATGCGCCACTTTATGAAAGGTGTGGTGGCCGCTTGATAGATGAGCTAACCTATTGCTATGCCGTGGCGGAATGGCACATGCATGTTCTTGCTGAACAGATCGTGGGTTCGAGTACTGATGCTATCAGATAAATACACTAATCCTTAGGGGCTACCTCGCTTTGAAAAGCAAGGACAGGCAAAATACCTTGTTGGAAATACAATTTGTTGATATCATCACAGAGTTCCAGTGTTGTGATGCAAGGATGCAACTGTAGTGGTAATCCACATGATGGTGTGTACATACTACATACCCACCTGAGGATATATGAGGTCACAAACCGAATGTGACAACGCTCTGGTAGACTAGGAGAGAAAAGGCTGAAGACACGGAGAAGAGAATGGAAAAGAAAACAACCCTGGCAGACTGTGAGAGGAGGAAGGAGGAAGCTCATGTGTTATTTTTTGTTTGCTTGTTTGTTCTTTTCCTGTGATGATGGGTCTTTTGCTTTTCAGGTTGCAAGCTTGCCGTCACGAAAGAGATTCCGCGGGCAGCCAGTTCGGGAGGGTTCCAACTCCAGCTGTGTGCTGGATGTAATGGGCGCCGAGGAGGCAGTAGAAGGAGGGAAGAGGGCTGGAAGCGACATATCTCTTGGGGAGCGATCCCAGAGTGGGGCAGGTGGGGCTGCAAATAACATTGTGAATGGAGGGGACGGGGCTGGAAGTCAGTCAAGAGTAGAAAGTGGTGGTGGAGGGGGAGGAGGAGCAAAGGGGGGTGGTGATCCCGTTCGAGCTTATCGAGAAGCAGCAAGTCCAAAGGAAATTGCATCTACCCATGGTAAGTGTGCTGTCCAGTGGCGTTCTGAGGTTTTCATGGCCGCCCTCCTACACTCTCTCTCTCTCTCTCTCTCTCTCTCTCTCTCTCTCTCTCTCTCTCTCTATACAAAGAAGTCAGGAAGCTAAAGGGTGAGGGAGAGATGGTGAACTGGAGGAAACACTCTCTCTCTCTCTCTCTCTCTCTCTCTCTCTCTCTCTCTCTCTCATAGTTTTTCTATTTTTATGTCTCCACCTTTGGAAACCCTAATTCCAACCACACATGTCTCCCTGTCTTTTTTTTTTTTTTTTTTTTTTTTTTTGCCCTTCAACAGGGCTCATTCCGTTTTTGCCAGAAAATGGGTCCGGCGTCCCTCACATATTTGCAGCCGTGGAGGGCTGGGCAAGGTACTTCTTGGCCGAACCCATTCCCAGTTACAGATCAGACACCCAGACACATGTCATCTCCCTGTTATTTGAGTGCGCATAATATATATCAGGAGACCATGTAGCTGACCACCGGCACAGTGGCGAACGTGATATTATCTCTGAGGAGGCCTCTCTTCATCTCCTGCCTGCCATATCCGGAAGGAGGGAAGTAGGTCAAGTCGGTGCTTCGGTCCTCGTGCTGCTCTCCAAATGTGAAAAGGGCGGAAAAAACGTCTAGCGTCTCTTTCTTCTCAAAATGCCCTAGCCACTGTACACATTTGGTGAGCTCTGTCGTGACCCCTTTCACGGTGTTGCCACGACTCGTCAAAATCTTGCGATAGTAGGTAGTTCTTTGTATGCTGATCGTATGTTTGGTCGGTGACTCTGGTCCATGATCCATTGCAGAGTGAGTGCCTTGGCGTGAGGACTTCATTGGTCAAGGTCCTTGTTTACCGTGGAAGAGGTGTCAATTCACAAGGTAGAGAATTTTGCTTGTCTGACGAGTGTGACGGTTTCGTTCTCTTGTCGTTTGCTGCTGCCTATTCAAAGCGATGGAGGTCCCCAGCAGTGGACGTGGGAATAACAGTATGGACATTGACGGCCATTCTGGGTGGTCGAGTTACCTCGCTCGCATGCGCGCCCAGGAGGAGTGGAAAATGAGGAATTCGGTTGGAGGCGGCAAGGCGGCCGAAGGGAAAGAGTGCCCGGTGGCAGCGGAAGCAGGAGCCGAGAACGGCAGCATGAGGTGTAACCTTCCAGGAGCAAACACGAAGGGAGGTGCAGGGTTTCCCAGAGTAACAGTTCCGCTGTGGAGCGGTCCACTGGGACAACATACTGGCTATCCCATCATTCCTAACTGGGGAATGAGAGATGGAGATACATCCTTGGATGAGCGACAGACTCACGAACAAGACTCTGGCGAGCATGTGGAGGAAAGAGTTCTGTCTCTCATGGAGCCGCAGTCGGGAGAACGGTGCCAGGATAGGGAGGAAAGCCAAGGGCGTGGTTGTCGAGCAGGGCAGAAGCGGGGAAGGGTTAGTGATGACAACAACAACAATGGTTGCAGTGGAGGCAGGAGGGCACCTTCAGGAGAGGAGAAGGACGAGGCAGATGACAAAGACGCTATGGATACGGATGACGGTCCAGCATTGGAGCTGACGCTCGGGCTGTCGATTGGTGGCAGCAGCCTGAGGTCTAAGTCGCGTAACAGCAAGGAGAGCCATTCACAGTCAGTGTCACGCAATGCCCTACCCGGCAAGAGTCACAGCAGCAATAGCAGTAGTAGTAGCAGCAGTAGCAGCAAGATCGGGTCGGTTGGAATGACGAAGGCTGTGGGGGGTAAGGCAGTAGGTAGAGGGAACGAGGCAGCAGAGGAAGGCGGTGATGGTGATGCAGAGTTTGCAGGAAGTCTGGGAACGACTGCCCAAACAACAAGTGTGGAAAGGCTGTCAAGACAGGCCCACGTGCACACTCACGGGGCGTTCGAAGAGCCCCGAGGAGGTGGTGCTGTGCCCGTGATGGTTGCAGGAGGCGAGGGTATGCATGCCAGTCAAGGGAATTCCGGTGGAGCCCATGCTCATTACCCTGTGTTGTGGCAAGATCAACAGAGAGATTCACTGCCTGGAAACCTGTACCCTGTGGATGACCGCGCTGACATTGGCTCTGCTCCCGACATTGCTGCGGCTGGACACAGGGGTCACAGTGTTCCGAACTTGCGGCAAGGCGCTGGACCCTGGACTCCGACGGGACGGAATGTGCAGGCTATGGCCTCAGAGTGTGGCTCTGTGCTGTGGCCAGGGAAAGATTTCACCGGAGGGGAGGATGTGAAGCTAAAGGCGCAGCAGGTTCGCACCGCTCTGCAATTCAAACCAGGACGAGATCGGGACAGCACCACAGCTCCAGCAGTGACGGTAGCCGCAAATGGAGCAGGGACATGGAGCAATCCAGATAAGGGCGGGGCACGGGGAAGTGACGCTCCAGGTGCCAGGTATGGGCCTGGAGGGAGTTCCGGTGGGTGCATGGCAAGCTCTGCACAGAAAGTGGTAGGAGTGAATGCCAATACCTGGGGAGTGGCCTTAAGTCCTGGGGTTGCCACGCCAAATGGAGCAAGTCAGAGATTGCCTTTTGCTATGAGTGCCAACTTTGCTGATGGCAAAGAGGCTGCAGCGCAAGTGATTCTGCAACCCAGCAGTGGAGTTGTTACGGCTTGCTCCCAGCCTTGTAGCGGATCACCGCCTCTGCTGGTGACAGCAGTGAACAACCAAATGGTACAGCCAGCTGTGAGCCCCACGGGTGTACCCCCTACAACAGGCGTGGAGATCCCGACAGTGATCGTGTCTGGGAGGGGGCCTTCAGGAGCAGGACCCATTGGACTGAAAATGGATAGCATGAATCTAGATTCAAGGGCGGATGGCGTTGAAGTTGCGATGAGCTTTCATCAACAGCAGCACTTACTTCATCAGCAAGAGCTGATTGAAGAGCAGCGCCGACACGAGATAAGACAGCAACAGCGGCAGGAGGCGCGAAAAAAGAGGAAGCTTGTCCTCCAACAAAAGTCAACAAGGAAGGACGACTCGGAAGTCAGGGTGGCCATGCCCATGGGACCTCAGAAGGCAGCTGGATGTGTTTACGCTGCTTCTGTAAGCGGGAATGGCATGTGGGCCGTGCCCGTTGCCAAAGAGGAATCGATCGGAGATTCTGGAGGGGAGGGCGTTGTTGCTCGGGCAGTACCAGGAGGAAGAGATGTGGGGATGGAGATGCTACCGTCTGGCATTCCCCTCCAGGTGCCGGTGCCATCATGCTGGAACGTCCAGCCCTGCGAAGAAGCCAAGAACTTGTCAAACGGTGCCGGTGGTGGGAGAGAAGACGATCTTGGCAGTATGAAGAGGCTGCTGATGCAAATGCGGGACAGCCAGAGGGCAAAGAGGGGGGGTGGAAATCTTTCGAAACCGGATGAGAATGGCTTGGCGTCGAGTAGGGAGGTGAACGGGCATAACCAGGGGAACAACAATACAGTGCAGCAGATGCCAACAAAGTCGAGGCTCGAGCAGCAAGAGGAGAGGAGGGCTGGTGACTCACCTCTTCGTGCAGGAAGTCCAGGTACAGGAGTTTCGGCAGCTAATGACGAGGGAGAGCAAGGTGCCAGGGAGCTAGGGCACCCGTCGTTTGGCGGAGCTGGCGCTGGGCCATCTGGAATGGCTTGCAACAATGAATGGATGCGAAAGGTATGGGGTGGGCAACTGGCGAGAATGTTCAGCGGCGTACATAAAGTACCTTCAGCTTCAGCAATCGCCTTACCTGGGATGGAAGATGCATCTTTCCCTCCAACGTCGAAGCCGGGGGGCAATCCAGCTGGACAGGGAAGGGGTGATGAAGAGGTTCCCAGTACCGGTGCGAATGCAGGCGGACGAGGAACCGGTGCACAGGGCCTGCCTGATCTCAATGTCAGGGACAGTGTGCATCCAATGTCTGGAAAGCTTGCCGAGTCTCAGGAGCAGGGAAAGGAACTGGAAAAGCAGAGGGAGGGCGAAGGAGAAGGGGAGATGACGGAACCGAATGCTCCTGGCAGGGGAGGAAAGGATGCTGGAAACTCGGGCAATGCTGCTGGTGTCGATCATCATGGAATGGACGTTGATGGTCGAAGTGGTGGCGGGGCAAGCAGAGGAGGAAAGCGATCGGAAAAGGAAGATGCGAAGGACGTCGGAAAGAATGGAAGGAGTAAGGAGGATGCATCGTCATGTCGTAATGGAAAAGCCGTACAAACATCACAGGCAGCACCGGCGCCCTCTTGCCAGGCAGTCGGCTCAAATGGGGCGGGAACCGCATCCCAAAGTCCAACAGGCAATGGAACGGCAGCGGTTGCTTCGAACCCATTAGCCTCACCTTCCGCGGGGGTATCTGGAGGGATGCATGCCTCTGCAGGGGGGGCACTGATGATGCCTCCCCCACCATTTCCAATTTTTCCCTTTCCCCCCTTACCGATGTCGCTTCCAACTCTGAGCCCATCGAGCGTTAGAAATATGTTCCCATTCCCATGCCCGATGTTTCCTCGCAATCCCGCTCCTCCTCCGGGGGGGGATCGTAGCGGATCCCAAGAGAATCTACCGTCTTGTCCGCTTCCCATGCCACCTCAAGCTCCCGTGCCTTTCCCATTCTCGTTCAATCCCTTCACAATGTTTCCTGGTGATCAGGCAGGACCATGGGCCTCGGTTGCTAGGCATGCAATATCTTCTCACGCCCCCGGATCGGCTTCATCAGGCTTGCACTCCTCATTCCCTTCTGGAACGAATGTGGGTGGCTCAAAACATGGTTCGTCTGCTGCTGCTGCTGCTGCTGCTTCTGCTGTGGGAAACGATCCGAGTCCTACGAAGTGGATTCCTCCAAATGGCGGGAGATCAGATGGTGGGAAGAGCCCCCCAGGTAAGCAGCAGCCATAACTCCTTGGTGTACAGCTGAAGACGAGGAGGGGCATGGGTCTAAAACTGCTCCACTTCCAGCAGTCTGGTCTTCTAAGTGTATGTCCTAGATGTGTAGCTAGTGAGCTGAATGATGAGATACCCTAAGAGTTTGGCTTCACTTCGATTCAGTTGGATGTTAACATTGATAGTGATTTTTTATACACATTGCTCTCCCGTTTTTTTTTTGTTTTTTTTTTCGCTTAAAAAAAGGGCAATATGCCCCTTGAGAGTGACATTATGGTTTAACTGAATGGCCCAACATAATTCAGAATATTCAGAATGTAATCTGAATATTCGATTTCGATTTCGGGTCTGTTTTTTTTTCAACAGTTTTACTGGTCTTCCAACTGAGCTAGGTCACTCCTTTCCTCCTTGAGTTGATTTTTGCGAAGGTCGATCGGTTTTATGGTGGTTTTATCACTGCTCTTTGTGAAAGAGGAGCTCGTTGGAGCTCGTTCGATACTTCATGTTATTATAACTTATAATTATTTTGCACTTTGGTGAACGGTACATGGGTGTCTATAAGCTGGTCGACGTTGATGTTGAAAGCTTTGATTGCGGTTCTGTCTGTGAAAGCGTCATCTTCGACAAGCTCGTGCCAGGGCTTTTCTCACCATGTGTGTCACAACGGGAAAGCATGGAAATACACTGGCAGGGCAGAGTGATTCGAGCGACAAAATGGTTGCAGTGTTGCGCCACGGAATGGAGGGAGTCAAGTGATACAATGTGGCTGTAGCGAACGTCTGGCAGCGTAAAATAGTCCTCTGGGGGGAGGTGAGGGTCTATATTTTGTCTGTGTATAAATTTTCGTATGGGACGCTGGGCCCGGTTCCCAGCATGTGCTGCTCCCCACGAATAGACTGGAGTTTTTGTTTCCAAAAACGAAAAGAAAAGAGGTGTATTTTGTCGAACAAGTGGTGGTTGCGTGCTTGCCTCATTACGAGCTATGACCTCCGATTGATTGCTTGCCCTTTGAATGTGCTAATGTGTTCTTCCCTGGATGTCATGCGATGGAAAAGTTGTGCTGTTCTGGAGACAGGGTTGCTCATTGGTTTCTTTCTCTGGATGTGCTTCTCTCTCTGCAGCTGGAAGTGGAAGTGCCGATGTTGGAAGACCAGCTCCTGTGCCACCCGTATCGCCGACTGCTGCGAGGCTCACGGCCTCTTCTCAGGGGCTGATCGGCAGCAAGGTAGGAAATGGGTTCACTTCAGTGAGGCCTCAGCCTGGAATAGGTTTCCGTCCGAGTCAACAGAACACGTCTGCACTGCCTCTAGCCCTTCCTCTGCCAGGCAGGGAATACCGATCGAAGGACAACAAGGGCAGCGACGTTGGCTCTGGTCTAATTGGTGGACGAGACGACGGGGATGCCGCACAGACGAGTGCTTTTGAGAGGTTAAGAGGGTCAGGAGCAGGATCGCGCAGTCTGAGTTCGTCACCTCGGAGAGCGAGTAGTCCAGTGGAGACGGTCTCGGCAAGGACAAGGTCTGATTGCGCAGAGGAGGAGGTGGGTGGAGCAGCCGAGAGTGGATCGACAGGGCAAGCTGCAGACGAGCAAGATCAAGATTCTGCCTGTCGCACGAAGGCAGCGCCACAGCTGCATTCTGGCTCCACCAGCGGGGCATCATCTCATCGAGTTTCCTCGTCGCCACAACGAGGCAGCGAGCTGAAGAAAGATGACGAGCAAGATACTGCAACCGTGAACAATGAGGCCGGAAAGCTGTCGGTTGCAGCGGATTGTGTAACTGGTGACAGGCACCCAGTGGCGTGGGAACCACAGAGTTCATCTCAACGCACAACAACGGAGGGTCTACCGGGAGTTATTATGGCGACAGCCCTTCGTCCTGGATTGTCAGCGGAGCAGACGTTCGGAGGCAGTGGGCAGTCCCCAGACTTGCCCTGGGTGTCCTGCACTGGGCCAGGTAAGACCATCAGTGGCGTTCTCTACAGCCGAGGAGCTGGGAGTGTTCTCATTGTCTGTGCCTGTCATGGCAGCCATTTGACACCTGAAGACTTCACCCGTCATGCTGGATGTGAAGATGTCGGCAATCCTGGGAAGTCTATTGTAGTCGGCGGCCCCTTCCCTAGGATAGCTGGTGGGGCCATGATGGCACAAAGTGGTGGGGCATCTGCTTCCCCGGCTCGAAGTCGTGGCCTAGAGTCAGCCGTGCCCTATGCCTGATTCCCTCTTCACCTCAGCAGGGTGCATGTGGACATGTCCTCTCTCTCTCTCTCTCTCTCTCTCTCTCTCTCTCTCTCTCTCTCTCTCTCTCTCTCTCTCTCTCTCTCTCTCTCTCTGTGACACCCATACACCTGTGCAGAACACAGCACAAGCAAACACGTACGTACAGAAGTGTCGTCGACTGTGATGACACATGTCGACGACGGGTACATGGAGGGCAAATCAGAATGTTGAGAGGGTGATGAGCATTACGAGCGTCTGTGTGAAGTAGGCTGCCTGACGTAGGGAGCGTAGAGGAGAGGAGAAATGCCGTGGCAGTTGACTGCAGCAGGGCACCGACAAAATCGGTACCTCTGCTCATTTTCAGTCTCTTTGGTCGTGTTGGTCTTACCCTGTCGTCTACCAATTGTCATTTGGAAGACAGGTGTCAGAGTTCCAATTTGTCTTTTTCCTGCATGCAGCAAGTCACAGCGAGTATGACTAGCTGTGAGAGCCAAGGTTTTTCCCAGGTGGTCGGTCCTGTACTTCAGGTACTTAGTCTACGGTAGTCTACGGTTTGCAGTGTGTGCCATTGACAACCACAGCATGCGGTTGGATATGGTTCCTCGGAGGAGGGCTGCGATGATAGGCCACCACGTGCAGCTTGTGCGTTGGAGGGAGTGGGTGGAAATTGTGGTTTTTATATGTGTACATTTGTTTGTTGGTTAGACCAATAAGTACATTTAGAGTCTGTCTCATTGTGCTTTGACACAGAGATACATACACAGAGAGAGAGAGAGAGAGAGAGAGAGAGAGAGAGGGGGGKGGGGGAGGGGAGGGGGAGGAGAGGTGATAGGAAAATTAGAGTTTTACTTTAAGAGTGTGTCAGATGAGCAAGTTTGACTCGATCTGGCCTCGACTATTATCTAGCTGTAGAGAGCAAAGACTTGAAGAATCGAGGAAGGGTTGTCCTCCAGTGTGATTTGTGAGAATAAGCAAAATGACTTGAGACGTGTTTACGGCCTTGCAGTTTGCGGCGGGACTTGGCAGGTAGGTTCTTGGTTTTCCATTTCCTGCCTCTAGTCCTTGCATGATCAGTGGACTTTCTGCAGACTGTGTACTGAGTCTGATGACGAAAGGAGATTCCACAACTTCCTTTGGGGCTCTGTTTGTGAGATATCAAACTAGGAGATGTGTTTTCACTGTTTTGTACATTTGATTGGTAATTCCATAGTCTTTTGAGAAAAAAAGTTTTTTTTTTTTCCTGAATTTATTAGTCTTTTGAGAAAAAAAGTTTATTTTTCCTGAACTTTGTGTCTTCGTCTTGAACCCGTTGGATGGCGAAGGCTCCATTTTCTCTCTTTTCCTCCTCCACTTCACTCCCTTACCCTCTCCACTGCCTGCTCCTCCCTCCTCCTGTATCCTCTGCCATATACCTTCTCTCCCCCTTCTCTCTCGTTTCCTCAACGTTTTCTCTTCCGTCTGAGGAAGTCCTTTCCTCATCGTCCTTTTTTTTCACACCCTATCAATCCCAGCTGGCAATTCTCTCGTCTCATTTTGTGATCCTTACCTCTGTCGTGTTTTCACATTTGCCCTCCTCCCCACTTCTGCTCTCTCTCTCTCTCTCTCTCTCTCTCTCTCTCTCTCTCTCTCTCTCTCTCTCTCTCTCTCTCTCTCTCTGTGTGTGTGTGAGCATTTCTTCTCTGCATTCATCTCACCTTTTCCCTCTTGTCAGCCAGCAACCCATGTTCGAGTCCCACATGATCTGTCATTGAAATTTATCGTCTTTCAGGATTGGGCTGACAAGCTGACTTTCTGCGATTAATGGCATCCCAGTGCTTGATATGAAAAATTATTGCCACCGCCTCACTGTAAATGGAACACACCTCAGGATTGTGACCGTATCGAGGGCAGCATTTCTGACCAGATGCATTGGTAATGATGCACTAACGCACCAGTACATGCCCCATACATCGGCCGGGGGCTTTTCTGGGGCTCGAAATTCCATGCCTGCCGCTGATGTTGTTTATTGATGCCGTGCAGGCCCCCGACTTTTCCGACCAGGCGTCCATTGTTGCTTTTAGCAAGGCTGGGGTGCGGGTGGGGGTGGTGTACTGGCAGTTTAAGACAGCAGCCAGTGGTCCAGCTATCGGCCGCGGAAAAAAATAGAGTAGAAACGTTTCTAGTTGGATGAATTTGGATGAATTTGGGCGCTCCTGTAGTGGCCCGTATGTTTCCTAAAATAGTGGCGCGTTAACGGGCACGACTTTAGGAATTACTGGTGGGGTTTAAGAGAGCAGCCAGTGGCGCCCCAGTAGGGCCCAGAGGCAGTACACAAGCCTCTGTGGTCGTGCTTGGAGCAATAGTACTCCAGCAAAGTGCATGCATTCAGAGGCCGGCAGAGCGCTGCAGAATGGTTTTGAATCAGGGCTGGTCCCCGGTTGGACAGGGGGGCACTCCCCCAACCGGGAAGATCTCTCCGCCACTGGTCTTCGCAGATCAGCGGAGAAAAGGCAACACACATTTTCTTTTCAAGATGCGGGTTCCACAATTTGGCATTGTGTGATCCAGTAGACCAGACCATATGTAACTGGCACGTCCTGTTGCACGCTCACTCGAAGCCATAAGGGTAAAAGTATGCCTGAGAGGTGGCTTTGCGTACATTATATGTTTCTGCAACGTCCCTATGCTCTGGGGAAAAAGTTATGGGTTTGGGTTGTGGGTCGTGTGTGCTGTCCGAGGTGCAAGCCCAAGAATGGACCTCGCGACCTCGCTCCACTAACAGTACATGCATCTGGACAGACAGACAGGCAAGGAACTTTCGGACTGATGATCCACCGTATGTAGAAAAAAAACAAACGGAAAGTGCTCTGCCTCCACGAGTTGAACGTGAACCCATAACTTTTTGGACGTCGAGCTATACTCTGGAGGATCTAGAAGTTTTGGCAAGGACGATCTCTCATCATATCTTGTCCGGCTTCTGGGCTGCTGATGACTGTTGGTATAATCCAAAACTCTCATTGGAGCCGAATTGCTGGCAGGGGAAAGAAGTGAAAAATAAAAAAATACCAAAAACAAAAAATGAATCTATCCATGATTCTGGGCAGATGCATTCTTGGAGCAACTGTTGTGAGCACACTGCCTTCGTGGCGTTACAGCCCTCAGCCCACACGGGTGTACGAAAAAAAAAAAAAAAAACAGTAACGACTCTTTGGACGTAAAAGCAGCTGGATACAGAATCTTGAGTACATGTGAGAGTGCCCTGTTGGTTGCAGGTCTTCTCAACTTTTCTGAGAAAAGATCCTTCCTTGTTGAAGCTGTAAAGGTCCTTATGGGACGCTGGACCTGGTTTCCAGCACGTGCTGCTCCCCACGAATAGATTGGAGCATTTGTTAAAAAAATAATAATAAATAAATAAATAAATAAATAAATAGATATTAGATAAATGAAAAATAAAAAAGTTTATGGGCCACAGGGGGTTGGACAAGCAACCATGTTTACTCGACCCCTCCCCCTGAGAGCCACACCTTCCTGAACATCCCAATACTACTCCGCCGCCCCTCCCACCCCTTCTCTCATCTGAAAGCCCAACAAAAGAAATCGCAGATTCAAAATTTATTGCGGATTTTAACAGATCTCCATGAGCGCAATGCAAATCCGCTGAAAAAAAAAAAGGGGGGCATCTTTAAAAAAAACGGTTTCCCGGTTCACCCCCCCGTGCTGGTCCGGCACCGGGTGGACCAGGGGGAGTGAACCGGCCGGTTGCTGGCCAAGCCTTGTTTCAAATAGTGGTGTGGTGGGGTTTAAACTTTAAACCACCAGTACTTGGCCCACCTATTGAAGCCGAGCCTGAATATGCCCTGCGCACAGATTTTTGCCGAGCCTTCTGGGGGCGGGAACCAACATGGGACATTTGATGCTTGGAACAGGTACCGGCCTTATTCTGGACCTGCTGCCAGCAGCTGGAATGTAAAGCGGCTATAGTTTTCTTGTTTGCACTCGTGTACATGAAAATGGCGTGGGCAGAAGTGCATCCAGATCCATCTGGAAAGATCTCGTTGAATGCTCCCCGCCAGAGGCGGGGAGCAGAAGCACAAACAGCCAAGAATCTTGAAAAGGAAAAAAAAAGGTACCGAGCTCTGAACGCCATTGCCCTCAGATACATCCGCTGCTGCAGCGAAGTGCAGCCAGAAAGGGCTACGTCAAGTGAAGCCCTGGAATTGAAACGGTTGGCCCGCATTGAATGCTCCCTGTCTCTCACGGGGAGCAGAAGCACAAACAGCCGTGATACTGCTTACCAAAAAAACAACAAAAGAAAACGAAGGAGAGAAGAGGTACCAACAGCCGTGATACTGCTTACAAAAAAAACAAAAAAAAAAACGAAGGAGAGAAAAGGTACCAAGCTCTGAACTTGAATGCCCTCAAATACATACATCCTCTGCTGCACCGAAGTGCAGCCAGATACATTCTGGAAAGTGCTACGTCACAGTGAAGGTGTGGACTTGGAACCGTTGGCAAGCATTGAATGCTCCCCGTGTCTCACAGGGAGAAAAAGCACAAACAGCCGAGATAGTGCTTCCAAAAAAAAAAAACAAAAAAAAAAAACAAAGGGCAAAAGAGATACCAAGCCCTCAGATTCATCCACTGTGCTCACAAGTACAGCCGGATACATTCTAAAAAGTGCTAACCTTACAGGGCTGGCGGGCACTCGTGAAAAACCAGTTTTCTTCCAAAAAAAAAAACAGAAAGAAAAGCAACGATCTGTGTTTTTTTTCCCTTCTCGTGTTGCAGTTCCTTTTCTTCTCTTTTCCCCCTCGTCGCCTTCAGCCTCCGAACGTTTCCACATAGCACAGCACCAGGACATCTTACAGTCCGTTTGCCCCGTTTTTGTGGGCCCGCACGTCCTCCTCCATTGCACTGCCGGGCCTTCCTCGAGGCCCGAAAACTGCGGCGAGTTAACGGGGAAGGCCCGCGGCCCATATATGGGCCAAGTACTGGTGGCATTCACCATTGGGTGATGGCTGCGCCCTACACCTGCTCTGTCTGTGCCGAGTTAGCAGGAATCTGGCTGTTCCTAACGACCAGGTGAGTGCTTTCTTAGTATGAACATAGCCACCAGCAGGGCCTGCTGTTAAACCACCAGTACCTCAACATAGCCACCAGCAGGGCCTGCTGTTAAACCACCAGTACCTCAGGGCCTGTTTCTCCCGAGGTGGATTTTGCACTGCGCGCCAAAGGGAAAAAAACGTTCAGCAGCCGTGGTGGATTTTGCACTGCGCGCCAAAGAAAAACAAACGGTCAGCAACCGTTTTCGTCCCGTAGCACTGCTCATCCGAAGACCCCGGACCGTCGCAAGTTCAATTTTTTTTTTTTTTTTTTTTTTTTTTGTCAAAAACGGGCCCAGTGCCCAAGGCTAATATTAAACAAGGAAACCGAGGCCGGGGTCCTCACAGTCTACCCGGAAAAGAATCATTTGGGAGCATCTCCCAATTCTGCTTACAGGGAAGACCCTGGAGGGGACCAACCCCCTGAAAAGCAAGGACTGAAATCTCTATTCTGCTTACAGGAAAACCCTGCAGGGGTCCACCCCCTGCGACGAAACAGACTGTACAGCTCAAAAGGTTGAAAATCCAGCTTTCTATTTCTGGACCTCTCAGCCCAGAGACTGCCTGAAAAGAGTGGAATTCTCGCCTTACTAATAAGATCCAGAAAACCATCTGACTGAACGAAAAATAACAACGTAGCTGGGAAACGGGCCCAGCGTCCCCTTTGTGAGTCACCACCGAAACGAAATGCATGACGCAAGCAGGTGTCAATAGAAAGGGAGCTCGCCACTTGCTCCTTTGGGAAGCTCCGCTGAGAGAGTTTCGAACCGCTCTGTAGTTAAACGGGCTTCGATGTTAACCACGTGGAGAAAACAAGGCTCCCATTGCTTCCGGATCTGACCAGGCTCTGCCTCTTGCCCCAGGTATTCCAGAACCAGGCAGTTCCTTTTCTGGCTGTTCCTCCCTTGGCTTTCCGAAACCAGTCTGCCCAGATACATTGCCTACATGTGGCTCAAATTGTAGCCTTGAGTTGAACATCCTCACAATGCTCCTGTCCAAAGACGTGGGAGTTCCTTTCGCCCCAGATGCTTGACATGAGAATGCCTCTGAAGGTTTGGGCCACGTAGCAATCAGCCAAGTCGCCCCCATTGGCGGTATTCGGTATCCCAGAGAGGA